CCCCCCCCCTTCACAACCTAATGGTACACCCGTACTTTTACGCATAGAATATTCTTGAAAAGAACGACAAACTGCTGTAAGAAAGAGTTAAGAAGACAACACGGGCAGAAGCAGAACTAAAAACAATTAACAACAACAATAGCAACAACAAAAAAGCAGAAATTCCAACATCAATCTCGGAGAAAAAAACCTGTTTCTTCCCGTTTCTCGTTTCTCTAACTATGCCACATACTCAGCAACATTCATGTTTTTTCAGTAAGTGTTTTACGGCACTTGCAACACAATAAGGTCATATAAGCGCAGAATATTAGAAGTGTTACAAGAGAGTAGCAAACACAAAAAAGAAGGAGGGGAGATAAAGACGATAGATGTTTGATAGGAAAGAAGAAGCGAACCATACCAGAGCACCCGCTAACCACCCACTCAACATTCACGTGCCTTCCTGAACCATGACGGTCTGCCAACAACAACCAATGCCATTCACCACCACTACCACCACCACCACCACCAACAACAACAACAGCAGTAATAACAATACAATAACAGAGCTATCAACAACACCAACACCATTAACACCTACAAAAATTACAACAACAACAACAAGACCAGCAACAACAACTAACAACATTAACAAAAAAACAACACCAACACCAAAACCAACAAAAGTCCGACCACAAACAAAAACAAAAAACCTATAAAAAACAGAACACCTTCTTACTCTTTTCTCAAGCAAAAAAAAACCCAGCTCCAAAACATCATCAACAACAACAAAAAAAAAACCTACCTCAAAACACTTAAGGTTTAATCATATTCACACACACCCTAAAAAAAAAGACAAAAAAAGACAAACACACAAAGACAAAACAAAAACAAAAACCCCCCCAACAACAACAAACAACAAATGAACCACACAAAACCATGGATAAGTTACAGTAATCTGACCAGTAGTCAATAAACATTCGGTTACTCTAGATCCCCGACTAGTCCAGCAGATGTTTTCAAGATATAAAACGTCACGCTCGACTGCATTTCCACCTGCCCCCCACTCCCCCCTCGACCCTCCCACACGCAAGCCGGTCCTGGTGCAAGTCTCTAGCACAGGACAGACACTCTAGACTGTGGGACTGAGCACTGACCTGAGGACGAGTGGATGACAAGGTGGTAGGGATACATGACAGCGTGCCCAGTGTTCGGGTAATGCTTACTTGAAGTCTTATTGTGGTCCTTATCATGATTGTCGTCATTTTACTATTGTTGTTGTAATGATGATGATGATGATGGATGGCGATGATGATGATGATGATGATGATGGATGACGATGATGATGATGATGATGATGGATGACGATGATGATGATATTTTATTATTATTATTATTATTA